TTTAAAAATGAGTCAAAGACATCTATCCAAGAGCCACTGTAGAATTAATCCCAAAGAGGAAAACATCTTCAGAAGCTGAATTTATGCTGATGATTTGGTATATGTGAGTATATAAATAGGAAATTGAGATAGAAACAAAGTTCAAGAGATTTGTGTTCTGTAAATGATATTCTAGAGTAGAGAAAGCAGGCAAATATGGTATAATTTGGAATTACTCTATTCCCTTTCTATTGACATAGTACTCTGTCTTTCTGCTCCCTTTACTCTTACTAGAGATAGTGCCTTAAAATCCCACACAATAATGATGCTTCTTCCAGTGTCCTGCAGCCTGAGGAACCAGTCTATTGGCTTCTGACCCTTCTATGCTAAGGAAAGTATATAATGCCCCAAATGGTTGCATTACAACTTGGCTCTATACATTTTAGGGAAACATAAGATGTCAATCAGTACATGCAAGGTATCTATTGGGTCAGTTTGGAGAGGCAGGACAACTTGAATCAGAGGAGTTTATGGGTCACAAGTAGATTCAAACAGTTTTTAATGGGCAATTTGTTGAAAGAGTTAAATTATCATTGAAAGACCTGGGTCTCTATAACCCCTTGTCTTAGCCCAGACACTCCTTTTAATAGAGACCAAAGTTCTTAATGTAGATGAAGTCCCATAGGTGGGCACTCTTAAGGCAATAGATGGCATGTCTTTTCTATTCACTTAAAAGGTGTTAGACTCTCAGCTAATCTCTTCACAATAAGAAAAACACCTGGAAAATAAAGGAGATTCCATAGAGAATGTAAATTTTTCCCCAACCTTTGCAGGATCATTTAAAAATTTGTCAAAAAAATATATTTTTGATACAATAATTTTTTCTTTCAGGGTCTATCTGCCATGTGATGCTATACTAGAATCAGGTTGGAATTTGATATCTAATTGCTATAAGGGTCAGTCTGATTAGTCTTAAGATTCTTAAAATTAATGCTGGTCAGTTATGCCTGAATTCCAAATGGGAGGAGAATATTATGAGACATGTCTGATCCCCTTCCCACCATGGCCTGAATTATTATTTTTATAATTATTATTATTTTTTTACATTTCTTTGAAATCCCCTTGGCTAATAGCAGAGATCTATTTAGCTGGTGGGGCTCTTAGAATTTACTTTTGGTTTACACACTAATTTTGAAATAATCTTTTTCAGTTTTTTTTTTTTTTTTGTCCTTTCAAATACCTTGTCGTATTTAAAATTATGGAAGTACTCTTCTACAATAAATAAACACATCAGTATAATATGTATTCTTTATTCAATAAATACTAGGGTGTATAATATATGAAAGTAACTGTGATAATCTTTATATTTACTAAGATAAAATTATGGTCCATATTCAGTTAGTAAATATATGACTACATAATTATGTGTTCAGTATGACTATTTTTTTTGTCAGTAACTGTAGTAGGCTATCCCTCAACCCCTGCTCTTACATATATTTTTAGCTTGGGTGAATTGACATAACATAAAGGTAACCATTTTGAAATGAGCAGACTCTTAAATCTTTTTGATCTGGAAAAATTCTTTGGGTTGATTCATTGTGGTTTGGCTTTCTGATTTCTGCAGCAATTAATATGATTACTTCCATTCCTTTTCCCTCCAAAACACTTCCAAAGAAAGGAATAAAGGATAATGCTGACATCATTAAAAATGACAACAGAGAGAAACAAATGAAGAGATCAGGAAGGAAAAGACCGGAATCTCTAAAGGCAAATATACAAATTTCAAATACTATATAAACTACTTTTACTTTTATATAGATGCATCTGTATTTTAGTCTAATATTATATGATATACTGTGTTGAGACAATTTATCATTGTCACCAATTGTACATAACTAGTCTGATTCTTCTTATGCTACTACTTGAAAAAATATAATATAATTTGGGAAGTGAATTAGATAAGCATATACCTAGATATTTATGTTAGTCTGGGGACTCAATAAATATACAGATTTATTTAGTACTGTTTTGTTTTAGAAAACCTATTATTTCAAGAAGATAGGTATAATTAAGAAACAAACACAAATTCAAACTATGAACAAAAGCACCAAAAAAAAAAAAAAAATGCTAATCCAAATAGTAATGTTGCCAAGTTTTTGTGGTACAGGGGAGAACTCAGCTCGCTCCCCAGTGGCCTCCAGGCTTTTGGTCTCTCACTCTCCCAAGAATGGGAGAGGGGACCACACAGGTGTGGTACACTCATAAATAGCTAACCCCAAAAAGTGTTTGCAGAAAGTGATTTATTCAGACAGAGAAAGAGAAGAGAGAAAAAGAGTTCCATGAAGGGTGTGGAAGGGGACCTAAGTATGGAATCCAAAGGGGTATGGAAGAAGGGGACTTTTAACCTGGGAGGAATTCCCACCTTCTCCAAGTCCTCTAGCCAATGAAGAGTTCACTTAAACTTCTGCTGGAGTGACTATCTTTTTGATTCTTCCTACATCCATGAAAATTAAACAGAAACTGTTAACTCTTCAGGATGAAGAGGCATGGGAGGGGGGCATGGTGCTGGGAAGTTCTTGCCCTTAAAACTATGCCCCCTTGTGGACCCAAAAGAGAACCCATTTCCTCATTTCCCCCCTCTGAACAGGAAAGTTCAACTTCTATTGGAACACAGGCGTCAATTTCTCTTTACTTCCTGCTGAAATGGAGCATAGAAGGGGCCCTACAGTTAAAGATTCCTCCAAAGGGGAGCCTTTTAGGGGTACAGGTTGATGCTGAGGTCCACAATAGAACTCATGAGTCAAGGACATTTGGGTTTCAGTGGCAGGATTATTTGTGACCTTATGGTTTTAGAAGAAATGAATGTAACAAGGTGGTTAGAGATGAGAGGCCCAGAGGCCAACAATTATAGAATGGTTATAAAGGAGGCCAGGAGAGAATAGAGCCAGGACAGTCAGTTGTTATACAAGCTTTACAATATTGTTTCTAGAAGATTTTTAGTCCTGTGTTTGATTGATTCCTGAGTTCTATGTTCAAAACAACAGTGGTTTACAAAATAGCAACATTTTCCTAGAAAAAGGTTTTCTTCCCACTATGAAAAGGATAATTGGAGTTTGAGAGTTATTTTGGTCAGGCCAGCTTCTCTTCCGACTACCTGTAGGAGGCAGAGTTGGGGCATCCAGGTAGCCTGAGATGCCCTGGCCATTTTGTTGCTCCCTGGCTCCTGCTGGGGTACAGGAGCTGAGGAAACCTGGTTGGCATTGGTGGAGGTAGTTGCCACAAGGAGTCCCACATATGGAAGTAGTTCTGAGGGGGGCTGAATAGGTATGGGGTACAGTCCTAACAGAACTGAGGCTTATTTCTTAGGGAAAAGAAAAGTTGCACACAGGGGACGTCAAACCATTTACTCTCGCTTTTACAATACAGTTCTAATTAAAGAATAGTATTATAATCCATAGCCGGGCGTGGTGGCTCACGCCTGTAATCCCAGCACTTTGGGAGGCCGAGGCAGGTGGATCACGAGGTCAAGAGATCGAGACCATCCTGGTCAACACGGTGAAATCCCGACTCTACTAAAAATACAAAAAAATAGCTGGGCATGGTGGCGCGTGCCTGTAATCCCAGCTACTCAGGAGGCTGAGGCAGGAGAATTGCCTGAACCCAGGAGGCGGAGGTTGCGGTGAGCTGAGATCGCGCCATTGCACTCCAGCCTGGGTAACAAGAGCGAAACTCCGTCCCCCCCAAAAAAAGAATAGTATTATAATCTATAATACTATAGACCAGGTTTTTCCACTTAGCAAGGGTTAAGTTGGCCATGCTGTTTGGCAGAGGAAAATGAGCTGCTCCTTCTTCAAAGATCATGTGTCAAACTGGTCCCAATTCTTTTACACAGGCCAAATTATAAAACTGCCCCAGGAGGGTAAACTTCTAGGGAGGAGCCATTAGAGCACACAGTGTAAAGAAGGCATGGGTGAGGCCAAAACAATATCCACAGGAGCCAGGTATCCTTCCCTGACCCATTTTCCACTGTAGAAAAATGCCCTTAGGGTTGTGAGTCCTGCCATTAACTGTTTGGGTCCTGGAACCAGTTTAACTATGATCTTCTAGATGGAAAAGCTCTGCCGTAGAGACAGAGCCAATACTAAGCAAGACAAATTATACACTAAACACAAAGTCCCATAGCCTTCAGCTTCTGAATTTCCCCAGTTTCCCCAATTCAAGACTGATTCCACTGAGGATTTGAACCAGTAACCTCACAGCTGCCAGCCCTATGCCTTAACCAACCATGCTAACAGGCCACTTACATCAAAGCCTGGTGGAAAGCTTTCTTAAACCTTATCTAAATGAGAATGCTGCACCCTGAGGCGGTATGGCCTCTGGAAAGCCGGGCAGAGCTGATAGCCAGCAGCTGTTTTATTTCAGCTGGCATACCAAGACAAAAAACTGCTTGCCACTGCGATTTTAAAATCTAGGCCCGCTGCACCACTACCCCCATTCAGGAGACTTTTTAAACACTGCTATGTGCTGGGAGGGGAAGGCTTGCCCCGTCCTTTGCAGCATTCCATTCCACCATGATGCCAGGACCATGTGTGCACTTGGGCTCCCTTTTCTTCACTGCTGTCTCTGACTGGGGAACGACAGAGAGGCCTGCTAGGCTATGCCAGGCCTCTGTATTCCCCAGGCCCAGTTCCCCAGCCAGCAAGGAGTGAAAGGTCTGGGGCCAGGGGAGTGCTCACCTGCCACCCCCTTGTGTGAGCCCAACAGCCACTGCACGCCAGTGCACACCCAGTAACTGCAGATAGCATCTGCCTGCCCCACCTCTGGCAGATTTTTGCCCAGAGAAGTAGCCTAGAGAGAGAAAGAGGGAAAGCAGAGAGAGAGCTTGGAGGAAGAGACTGTGCCTTTAATTCTGGCTGGCCCATACTGCTTAAAGATGGGCTGGGCTGTGTGTCCCTGTGGCTCCGAGCTGCTGCTCTGGTGTTCTTAAAGAGACAGTACAGATTGGGGCCGGTTTTACTTACAGTTTGAAATCTTCTTCTCCTGGCTGTACCCCACTCCTGTCTGACTCGCCAGTAATGTTGCCGGGTTTTGGGGGTACAGGGGAGTGCTCAGCTGGCTTCCCAGTTGGCTCCAGGCTTTCGGTCTCTCACTCTCTCAAGAATGGGAGAGGGGACCATGCAGGCGTGGTATGCTCGTAAATACCAGACCCCAAAAAGTGTTTGCAGAAAGTGATTTATTTAGGCAGAAAAAGAGAAAAAGGAGAGAGAAAAAGATGAGAAAGAAAAAGGGTTCCACGAAGGGTGTGGAAGGGGACTCAAGTACGGAATCCAAAGGGGTGTGGAAGAAGGGGACTTTTAACCTGGGAGGAATTCCCACCTTCTCCAAGACCCCTGGCCAATGAAAAGCGTTCCCTTAAACTTCCTCTGCAGTGATTGACTTTTTTATTCTTCCCACATGTGTGAAAATTAAACAGAAATCATTAAATCTCCCAGATGGAAAGGCATGGGAGAGGGGCATGATGCTGGGAAGTTCTTGCCCTTGAAACTATGCCCCATTGTGGACCTGATAAGAGAACACATTCCCTCACTTCTTTTTTTTTTTTTTT